CAGGGCTCCCCCCTGGCTCCGAAGGCGGACTCGGACACGGCCCCCTGCTCAGGCGGGTGTGCCTGATGAGACAGCTGCCTTCCAGCTGGATGCTGGAGCACCGGGGGGAGCTGGGGCGGCGCCACGGGGCCTCTGCCCACCCCAGCGGGTCTCCTGCCTGGGAGGTGCCGCACGTGTGGGGGTGCTGTGCCCTCTGCTGCTGGCCGCACAGCTGCTCCGCGCAGACCCTAGCTGAAGTTGAAAAGGTACGGTTTGGAGACGCAGCGCCTGGTTAGGACCTGGCTAGCTGCCGACCGTGGAGAGCTTCAGCGTCATGCCCCCTTCAGAGCCGTGGGGGCTGCAGGCAGCGCTTGGCCCAGTCACCCCACCGGTGTCCCCGGTGGCGGCTGCGACAGAGCCCACAGACAGGTGCCTTAAACATGACGGAGACCTGCTTCCTCAGTGGCGGCATCTGTCGAGGGCATCTGTGATGCCAGCAGAAACTCGAGTCAGGGTGTTAGCAGGGCCATGCCCCCTCCACAGGCTCTGAGAGAGGATCCTCTGGCCTCGCGGTGGCCGAGCGCCAGGTGCTTCTGGCTGTGGGTGTGTCACTCTGAACCCGGCTTCTGTCCCCCGGCCTCTCCCAGTGTCTGTGTGCAGAGTCCCCTCTTCCTCCGAGGACCCCAGGCCCCGCTCCGTGTGACCGCTCCTTAGCGAGCTGCCTTTAGGGACCCAGGCTGGCGTCCCTGGCCTGCTGCTGAGGCCTCAGCCTGTGGGTGTCCATGCAGGTGTCTGCATCCAGCGCCCGGACCGGGGCACCCACGCCTCTCCTGGGCCCATGTGCTGGCTCCGGGACACTGCGGGCTGATGTGGCCTTGACACAGCTCACCTCTCGGGCCCCGTGGCCCGCAGAGGGCGTGGCCTTGACACAGCTCACCTCTCGGCCCCGTGGCCCGCAGAGTGCGTGGCGTGGTGTGCTCCTCTGGGCTTGCCGGTCCTCCTCGGTCTCTCCCTCAATTCACACGAGCAGTGGGGAAGCCGCAGGCTGCACCTCCCACACTTCACTTGGAAATCTCAGCCCAGTGTCCCGTGTCTCCCTCCAGCCCTGCTTGCCCCAGCAGAGCTCGTCTCTGCCGCTCTTTCAGCGGTCGCCTTGCAGTTGTTTCCAGTGGCACTGCAACAGGCCTCACTGGAAGGGCCTATTTGGTCGTGTTTCTCCCGGTAGTCTCCTCAGGGCAAACCCAGCTTTCACAAGCACGCAGCTCAGAACATTCCAAGTCCTCCCCTCCTCCAGCACCACAACCACAGCCGTGTTTCTGGGGAAGGTGTTTGCTCCGGTGGCACCCTCCGCCCACGCTGAAGTCCACCGCCGTCCTGTGGGGCCATGACAAAGCCCGCTTGCCAGGTGGCAGAGCTGTAGGACCTGCTCCTGGCCCCACAGGCCCGGTCTGCGATGGAGGGCGGGGCGCGGCTGCAGGCGAGTCCCTCCCCCATCTTCCACCTCCACTCTGCTTCCTGTGTCTGCGTACCACCCTCCCTCTGACAGGTACACCCGTCTATTAGGTTAGGTCCCACGTCGCTCCCAGACCTCGTCTTCCCTACTGACATCCGCAGGTCAGGTCACATTCTGAGGTCCTGGGATCAAGACGTGGGCATGTCTCATGGGGACAAGGTGGCGTGGCTGTTGGGTGCTGCTGGCAGAGGGGAGGGAACTGGAACCCCACCGGCTGCTCGTCTGGCCGCCAGTGCAGCTGCCACCTGTCGGGTGGGGACTGGAGCCCTTCCCCGCCTGCTCCCAGGTTGTAAAGCCTGGTCCAGCGGGACCCGCCAAACGACCTGCGCTGACCCCGCCCTCCGCAGGCCATGCGGACGCTCAGCTGGAAGCACACCCTGGGCTTGGTGACGATGGATGTGGAGCTGGCTGACCGCACCCTGTCTGTTGCGGTAACCCCTGTGCAGGCTGTTGTCTTGCTGTATTTCCAGGACCAAGGTGAGCTCTCCAGCCGTGCCCCATCCCCATCCCTCGGCCACGCCCTGCCTCCCGAGGAGGGTGGGTGGGCCCGGGCGGCTCCCCGCCCCCAGGCCCTGCCAGTCCTGCCAAGCTGGGCCCGTGAGGCCGAGGGGCACAGTCGAGCCCGCCTACCCACACCCCGCCGCCTGTCCGCAGCCAGCTGGGGCCTGGAGGAGCTGAGCGAGGCGGTGAAGATGCCGGCCACGCTGCTGCGGCGCCGCCTGTCCGTGTGGCTGCAGCAGGGCGTGCTGCGCGAGGAGCCGGCCGGCATCTTCTCGGTGGTGGAGGAGGAGCGGCCGCAGGACCGGGACAGCATGGTGCTGGTCGACAGCGATGACGAGAGCGACTCGGGCCTGGCCTCGCAGGCTGACCAGAAGGAGGAGGAGCTGCTGGTGCGCCTGGCCCGCCCGCAGGCGCAGGGGGGGCGGGGTGGGGCGGGGCAGGTCGGCCTAACCGCGGCTGTTCCCCCAGCTCTTCTGGACTTACATCCAGGCCATGCTGACCAACCTGGAGAGCCTGTCGCTGGAGCGCATCTACAGCATGCTGCGCATGTTCGTGGTCACTGGCCCCGCCCTGGCCGAGATCGACCTGCAGGAGCTCCAGGGCTTCCTGCAGAGGAAGGTGCGCGACCAGCAGCTTGTCTACTCCGCCGGCGTCTACCGCCTGCCCAAGAGCTGCGGCTGAGCCGCGCCAGGCTCCACCCACCCCCAGACTGCGAGTAAAGAGATGGTTCTTCATCCTCCGTGTCCTGTCGGTTCTGTGGCCCCAGGGACGCGTGCTCAGGCCCTCCCCCGCCACCGACTCTGGGCGTGTGCTCCAGTTCTGCACACTGGCCTCCCCGCAGCCAGGCAGAGCGGGTTCCCCCAGCAGGTGGGGGCTGCACACCTGTGTGGGCTCCAGGCCGGGAGGAGTCCTGGCAAGTGATTGTCTGGTCACCGTGGCCAGTGGAGGCCCACATCAGGCTCGTGGCTCTGGCCAACGGGAGGCTGGCCAACTGGGAAACAGACCTCATGGATATCCCCCCAAGGGTCCCCAGCTCTGGCCTTTGAGAGAACTCCTCGGGGTCCGCCTCCCTCTACCCAGCCTGAGGGTCCAGCCCCCCAGTGCTGGGCCGAGAGCCCCAGGGCGGCTCCTGTGGCCCCGGGGTGCTGTCGGAACGTGTGAGGGGGGTGGGCAGACAGGCGGCCCCTGGGAAGCCGAGAACTCGTGTCTGCAGCATGAGCGGCTGCCAGTGTCCCCGCTGTGGTCCCGCAGGCAGTGTTGGGGTCCGACAGGCGTGCTTCCCGAAAGACCCACCCCTCCCACACCCCTGAGGTGTGGTCGGGGGCGCCCGGGGGCCTGGCTGTTCCCTTCTGGAGAGGCTGGGCCCAGGGAGGCAGCCGCCCCCAGGTTTGTGCACAGGCCCTGTCCAGCCACTCTGGGGGCCCAGCTCCCGGGAGGCGGTGGGGTGGGTGTTGGCGGTGCCAGGCCCGAGGCCTTCAAGCTGTGCTGGGCACCGCAGCCCAACCTGCATCCATCCAGCTTATCTGGCTGGACTCAAGCCTGGTGGCACTGCTCCCCAGGTGACCAAGGCCCTTCAGGACAAGTGTCTCCACTGCCCCCTCCACAGGGCACCCCAGGACCCCCTGGCTCCCTTAGTCTGCGCCCCAGCGCCCCCACCCATCCTGTCCTGCTAGAGGGCCCAGTGCTGGTTCTGCTTCCAGGGCTCTTTTCTTTTTTTTTGGCCACACCAAGAGTCATCTGGGGTCTCAGTTCCCCGATCAGGGGCTGAACCCCAGCTGTGGCAGGGGCCCCCGGAGTCCTGACCGCTGGGCCACCAGGAGCTCGCTCTAGGACGCCTCCTTATGCCCCAGGGTGGGGCTTCCTGAGGGGTTTGAAGGAGGACATGGAGGGCCTAGCAGAGCCTGAGCGGTCTGCGGACGCTGAGAGGCCAGCAGGTGTCCCCCTTGGACTCGGCCTGCCGGGGGGCTGTGCTGTGGTCACGGGAAGAGGACTTCCTGCCTGGCACTGGGCTGGGCCTGTCCTTGTCCTAGACTGGGTGAAACCGGCTGGACCGGCCTGGCAGGGTGGCAGGTGGCATTGCCGGCCCCTGGGCGTGGACACACCTGCCCCGAGTCCCTCTGGACTGAGTTTGTGGATGAGTGTGGTGAAACCCAGCGTCTCAATTCCCTGCCCCACTCATCGGGCGCAGAGGTGTGCCAGGAGCCGCCCCCAGGAGGTGGCACCGTGCGAGGGTCAGGGAGGGCCCCGGCGACCAGGGCTTGGCTGCAGCCCCCAGTGCCCTGGAAGGTCAGGTGTGGGGCAGGCCTTTCCTCCTGCGGCCTGAGTTTTCCTGGCAGGCCCTTAGGGGAAGAGGGGGAGGGCTGAGGTTAACCTTGACCTCCCACGAGCCGCACCTGCCTGGTGTGTGGGAAGGTCACACAGGGAACAGACTGCAGAGCTGGCCATGAGTTCTAACTAGTGACACAACTAACCCAGAGCTCCAGACGCTTGGTAGTGGTTTCAGAGCCGCCTGCTCCTCAAGGGTGATCTGCAAACACTGCCAGGCTCAGGCCCAGGCCTCCTGCTTGCTCCAGGCGTGGGGGAGAGTGGCGACGTCAGCCAGCTGCGCCCCAGGCCACCCCCTTCCCCGCCACCAAGCTGCTGCAGCCCTCACCCTGACAAGCGGAGGCTGGGGCTTGCCTGCTGTGGCCCTCTGGCTTTCCAGGCTGCCGCCTCCCTGACCCCAGGGGCCCAAGTACAGGTGGTACCGCTTCCCGTGGTCTTCCCCCAAGGCCAGGGCAGCCCCCTGCTGCCCCGCCTCAGATGGCCAGGGCACTCCAGGCCGCCCTACCAGCCCTGTCCATCCTGGGGCCGCCCACCCGGGGCTCCCTGAGGCCCCCAGCATCCAGGGCAGCAAAGCTCCATGTGAGGCCCTGCCCCCGCCCTCCTTGCCTCACAGCTCCATTGTGAGGTCAGCGCCTTCCGCCGAGCTCCGGCCAGAGGTGTTGCGGCGGGCCGGGGGCTGGACATGGCCGCCTGTCCCCAGCCCGACTCCTGCCTGCTCGGCAGCCCCCTCGGCCTCGTATGTCTGTCCCTTTTGCTCATCCCTGCTGCAGGTGCGGCCTCCTCCAGCCCCGCCCCAGCCCGGGCCCCGCCCGCACCCATCCAGGCCCAGGGGCCACGGGGGCAGGGTTCAGGGGTCAGCCACTGGCAGGTGACGCGGGCCCCTCGGCTGCCCGGCCGTGTCTCTGCAGCCGGAACCTACTGCGAGTGCAGCCTTGGCCTCAGCCGCGAGGCCCTCATCGCCCTGCTGGTGGTGCTGGCGGGCATCAGCGCTAGCTGCTTCTGTGCCCTCGTCATCGTGGCTGTTGGTGTCATTCGAGCCAAGGGGTGCGTGAGTCCCAGGGCCGACTGGCGAGGTGGGGGGGGGCTGTGGGTCAGGCTGTCCCCCGGGGCTCCCGGTCTCACCTCGTGAGGTCAGCAGGGGCTTGGGAAGGACGTCTCCCAGGCTGGGATGGGGAAAGGTGTGTGGGGGCACCTCTGGAGGCAACCACGTTGGTCACAGACTCACGCCTTACCTTTGTCCCCCCCACCCCAGTGAAACGTGCCCTGAGCACATGGACAGCAGGTGAGTGACCCCAGGGGAGGGCCCCGAGGGTGAGCTGGGCCCCGAGGGGAGGGCCCCGAGGGTGAGTTGGGCTCCTGGAGGCGGAGGCCACCTGGGAGGCAGAGGCCTGGGTGGTTGGCGCTACCCGCAGCCGGCCTGAACTGGGCCGTGGTGCGCAGGATGGTGGGGCACTTCGGGGTGCAGGAAGACCATATGGACCTGCGCACGGTGCATGTGGAGTCCCACCTCATGGAACCCGACATGGCGGTCCCCATGATGCGGCCCCTGGAAGAGCATGGCCTGATGACCATCACCATGGACTCGACCCTGGAGGAGCCGCCCCCCCAGCCTGAGTAGGGCTTCGGGCGTGGGGGGAGGGGAATTAAACAGTATTTAGTTACTCTGTGCTGTCCTCCCTGGGCCCCTCTGGGGGGCGTCTGCCGGGGGGGGGTGCCCTGCACACACCTTTCTCTTCAGTGGGGTGCCTGCTCTAGGCTCGCACTGTCCACCCTCCAGGCAGGGGTCCACAGTGGGTGTCTGCACTTCCTGCATGCCTCAGCCCTGATGCTGCCTGCCTCTGCCTGTGGCTTCTTCCAGTGAAGCCCTCAGGCCCCCGCCCCCACCCCACCCCAGGAAAACACCAGGACAGGACCTGTGACTCGGCCGAGTCCAGGGAAGCAGCATGTGACCAGAGGACTTGGGCTGGTGCCCCTGCCCCACCCACCTGTCTCCTGGAGATTCCGGGAGAGCCCTTGGGGGGCGGGGGGGGGGGAGGTGACTGCCTCCGCGTCCTCAGGGGTGCCACCCTCCCCCCGCCCCCCACCACATCTCCTGGACCCCAGGCTCAGGGCCCCTCAACTGTCCACCATAGGGATGGGGCCGTTCTAGGTGAGGACTGCTGTGTGCGCCCTGGAATCACTTGCTGAATGGAGACAGGGGCGGGTACCAGCAGGGCGCACTGGCTCTCACGTTGCGTGTCGCTGTGGTGAGTTCAGCGGGAAAGAGATTGTGGGGGATAGCGTGGTCCTGTTGCTCAGGCCTCCTGGGGTCGCGGGATGGCGCACCACACAGGTGAGGAAGGGGCGTGGTCTTTATAGCGCTGCTGGCCCGGAGCCAAGTGGAGCCCAGCGCTTCGGGACAGGTGGCTGGCAGTGCCCTGCCTCTGGCTGGCTGCCCAGCCTCCGCCCTAGGCGCGGGACCAGCCGTGGGACAGGAACTGCCTGTGCTCAGGCCGGAGAGTTAATGTTTGTGCGGGAGCCGCAGGGACCGATCCGCCCCGGTAACAGGCGGACAGCGGACCCCCACGAGTCTCCCCATGCGGAGCCCCTCCTTGCCCTCGTGGGGGCCGCCGCCGCCGCTGCCGCTGCTACTGCTGCTGTTGCCGTGGCCAGTCTGCACCCAGGCGCCCGCCGCAGCCGCCTCCCGGGGAACCCCGGGCGCCCTGGACTGCCCCGAGGCGTGCGTGTGCGCGCCGGGGGGCCAGGCAAACTGCTCGGGGCGAGCGCTGCCCGCCGTGCCAGGGGGTTTGAACCGGCGCGTCCGTGCGCTGCTGCTGAACCACAACCGCGTGCACGCGCTGCCTCCCGGCGCCTTCGTGGACGCCGGCGCGCTGCTCCGCCTGGACCTGCGCGAGAACGGACTGCGCTGGGTGCACGCGCGGGCCTTCTGGGGCCTGGGCGCGCTGGAGCAGCTCGACCTCAGCGCCAACCAGCTGGAGGCGCTGCTGCCCGGCACCTTCGCGCCACTGCGCGCGCTGCGCGCCCTCTCTCTGGCTGAGAACCGGCTGGCGCGTCTAGAGCCCGCGGCGCTGGGCGCGCTCCCGCTGCTGCGCGCGCTCAGCCTGCAAGACAACGACCTGCCTGCGCTCGCGTCCGGGCTCCTGGAGGGCCTGCCGAATCTCAACACGCTGCGCCTGCGCGGGAACCCCTGGACCTGTGGCTGCGCGCTGCGCCCGCTCTGCGCCTGGCTTCGCGGGCACCCGCGGCACGCGCCAGGTGAGCCCTCGGGGGCGCGGGCGGGCCGGGTGGGCCGCTACCCCCACGACCGTCTGACTCAGCGCCCGTGTCCCGCAGAGGCCGAGACGCTGCTTTGCGTGTCGCCGGGGCGCCTGACGCTCAGCCCCTTGACCGCCTTCCCGGAGGCCGCCTTCAGCCACTGCGCGCGGTCCCTTGCCGCCCGGGATCTGGCCGTGGTCTACGCTCTCGGGCCCGTCTCCTTCCTCGCTAGCCTGGCCGCCTGTCTGGCCTTGGGCTCCGCGTTCACCGCCTGCGGCGCTCGCCACCGCCGCCGCCGCCGCCGCCAAGCCGCCGCCCGCCGCCAGCAGAGGAGGCCGCCGGATCCTGGCCCCGGCACGGCCTCGCCTGCGGCCACCGCCGCTCAAGCTTGAGGGGCTGCGGCCGCCCTCGAACCTCCCCCCACCCGCTTGCCCCCTCCGCACCCCTGACAGGCGTCAACAAGCGACACAGCTCGAAATTTTCGTGGCATTCCTTTTGGCATCACCACTGCACACACCGGGAGGGGCGGGGGTCGGCGCGCCCGGACGCGGAAGGGCCGGGCCTGCATCGAGCGGAGCTGAGGACAGTTCTGAGCCAGCCAGCGTCTGCGAGGCCCGCCCTGGGCGGCGGGCGGAGGAGGCAAAGAGAAGGCTCAGCCCTCGCAGGGTCCGGAGAAGGTGGGAGGCAGTGGGGGGGCCCGACCGCGCCCCAGGGAGGCGCTGCCAGCGGGTGGGATTCAGGGTCTGCAGTCCAGGAAGGGCAGAGCCAGCTCAGAGGATGGGGTGAAGCGGAGAAGGGGTACAGGCAGGAAGGGGGAGGTGGGGTGGAGGCCTTGAGGCGCGGGGGCGTGGGAGGGGCGGCCCAGCCAGCCGGGGCCAAGGCCCAGCGTGGCTCTGGGAGTGGCCGGGAAGGACAGGGCTCCAGTCTCTGCGCCAAGCCCCTCTGCTGGGCCGAGTCGGCTGCTGCCCCCGCTGCTCAGAGACCCCAGGGCCCTGCCTCTGCCGGAGCGCCCTGCGGCCCTGCCCGGCCGGCTCGGCTCTGGCCCGTCCTCAGCGGCTCTGGTCCGAGCCTCTCCAGCAGGAGCTGCCCGCCGGCGGCAGGGCGGGCGGGCGGGCGGGAGCCCCGGGGTGGGCAGTCTCTGGCCGGTGGGCTTCCCTCAGGCCTTCCCGAGCAGCAGGACCCCTCAGTGTCCTTGGCCGGGCTAACGGGGCGGGTGGGCGCCTCCGCGCGCCTCACACCACGGTGCTGACCGAGGGATCTGAGAGGTTGAGCGGGCCCGTGATATCAGTGGGATGGTACTGCTGCAAAATAGAAATACAGACAAGGCGCCCGTTAGCCCGGCCGTCAGGGGCACGCGCGGGGCCGGGACGGGTGGACCAGCCGGCCGGCCGACCGGCGGGCAGGCGGGCGCGGCCTGGGGGAGGCTGGGGGGCGCTCCTCCCCCTGACCCCGTCGTGCTCCGGGACTCTGCGTGGGCCGGGCCGCTGTCCCGTCCGTTTGTCTGTCTGTCTGCGGGGGAGGGGGGCAGAGGAGGGCGGGCAGGGCGTCTCAGCTCTCCCTATGACGGGCACACATCTGCAGCTGGCCCTCCTCCCTCTCAATAGCGCGTCGCGGCAGCACTGTGTCTTTTTGGTTTTGCAAAGCGCCGCGTCCACCCCCGGTGCTCTATAAATAAGAACCAACAATCAATACCCGCTGGCCCCGCCGGCCGCCAGGGACCCCAGCCCTGATCGCCCAGTGCCGCCCTGGCCCAGACCAGCCGCGGGACAGGGGCAGCGCATCTCAGCAGCCGGACTGACCCCACCCCTCCCGACAGAGCCCCCCACCCAGGCCTCCCTCCGAGCAGGTGCCCAGCCTGAAACAGTGGGGGGCTGGGCTGCCCTCCCCCGCCCAGCCCCCAGCTGGCAGTGTTCCCAGTCACCCCTGCAGGGCCGGCCAGCCCCAGATGCCACGTGGCACCAGAGCTGGCCTGGAGGGTGGTCCCCGGGGAGGCTCGGGCAAGGAGTCTGCTGGGAGCGTGTCCCGGGAAAGGCACCATGAGGCTCTCTGAGCTGCACCCAGGCCAGTTAAGGGGCTTGTGAGTGGGCTCTGGGCCGGGATCGGGGGTGGGATTCTGCTGCCCTGGAAAAGTGGCCCACTGCCTGCGTGACTCTCCTGACCCTCCTTTCGCCTGCCTGTCCCCAGAGCTCTGTCTGCCAGGCGCCTCCTCCCCCGCTGCCCCACAGCTGCTCCTCGCTGGCCCTCCCAGCCCCTGGTGGGGCCCCTGACTCAGGCCCCACCCAGTTCCCGGGCTGCACGGCTCCAGGCCTGTGCTCTCAGCCCCTCGGGCCCCCGTACCCCCACTCTGCCTGTGCTGAGCCCCAGGAGTGGAGTGGCCAGGCCTCACAGGCCCCTTTGGGGCAGGTGGCGGCCTCACCCCGGACTCGGTGGCTCTGCCGCTCCCTGTCTGTCCTGTGTCTGCCCCTCTTCCCTTGTGCTGTGGGCGGGGGCTACAAATCCTGCTTCCACCTGGATCGTAAGACTGGAGGGTGATGCTGCCTGTGAACTGGGGGCTCCTTGTGGATGGGAGGACAAGCCACCCCTGAACCGCAGGGAGGCTGCTGGGCTGAGGGCTGTACTGGCCCTGGGCGGTCCCTCCTCACCTGGGGACGCTCCCAGCAGGGCTAGGCCAGTCTTGGGGGCCTGGGGTTCAAGCGCACACACCCGGGGCAGTGACAGGCTGCCCAGGCAGGAGGACAGGGAATCCTTGGCGCTGAAGCACCCCTCCCCTCCGTGGGGGCCTCCCCTTCCTGAGCCTCGGTGCCCAAGGCTTGCCAGCCACAGCTTTCGGGGCCACCCCCCTCTCCCCGTTCTCAGACCCCCAGGTGCTGCCAGCACGCCTCCCGCAGGGCCCCTGCTCGGCCTGGGGTGGGAGCTGCCGCCTCTGGTCCCACCCGTTCCCCATCTGACGGCCCCTGTGGCCAGGGTCCTGTGCCAACTCCAGGCCCCAGCCGTCCACCCAGATGGAGCCGGGCCCGGCCCCCCAGCCCCGGCCCACACAGAGACCACATGAAGGGGATGCAACAGGCATGGCTCTGGTGAGACACGAGAGACAGGCGTCTGGGTGGCGGGGCTGGCGGCCAGACAGATGGACGGATGGGACATCACAGGGACCCCTCCACGGACGTCGCAGGGAGGGAGCGAGGGCAGCGGGCCTCTCCCTGGAAGAGGCTGGAGGGACGGACGTGACAGAGGAGTGTGGCCTCCTGACGGCTGAGGAGCCTGGGACGGGGTGGCCCCGGGCACCCGGGGCTGCGGGCACAGCCCCGAGCAGGGAGGCTGACCGGCGACAGGACACAGCTTCAAGATGGCGCATGGCGTCATGGCATGGGGGGCAGACTAACGCAGAGACACATGGGGAAGAGGACCCGGCGTGGGCCCGTGGGACAGAGGACCGACAGAGAGAGGTCCAGAGTCAGAGAGAGAGGCCCTCGTGTGCTGGGCGGGCAGCGGTGAGGGCAGAAGGGCCACAGTGGGCGGAGGCAGGTGGTGGGATGGCAAGGACAGGGCGAGGGCGGGCCTGATGCACGGGACACAGACACGGGGGCGAGGAGAGAGTCGGACACGTGGGACGGGGCGCTCTTCCCCTTACCGTGTCTTTGGAGGACCTACGTCTCTTGAAGCTGGAAGCCAGGGTGGAGGTGATAGCCCTAAAAGTGGCTTTCTTTTTAGGGTCGGGTTCTGCTCTACCACTCTTTCTATCCTAAAATGAATATGTATAAGTGATTAGACGGCTGAGGGTGGCGGCCACACCTGCCCTCGCCTGCTCCTGGGGGCTGCTGCCCAGCCTGGCTGGCCGCTTGGGCCCTCGTTCCTGCCTGCCTCCCTGTGCTGGACGGACCAGCCGCCGGCCCCACACTCGCAGGCGGCCTCTGCTGCTGCCGGGGTCTCCGGCCTGACCTTCCTTGTGCTGGGACTGGGTTCGGGGAGGCGGGGCGGGGTCCTCAGCTGGCTCTTTTCCAGGAAGGTCCGCCTGGTTCCCTGGCTCCAAGGTGCCCCTGGTGTACGGGTGCCCCAAGGAGGAGGAGCCCCCTAAACACTGGGTGAGTTGCCCCCACAGGCCCCACCAGCCACTCTGACCCCAGAGGAAGTGCAGCGAGATTTAGGAAGGGGCTGAGTGGGCCAAAGGCAGGTGGCGAGATGGACTGGGGTGACAGAGAGACAGAGGCAGCTCCTGGGACCCTGGCCTTGGGTCTGATGGCCAGGGTGGGCCCTGCGCCCACCACTGGGAGCAGCGGCCACTTCCCAAGAGCAAGAGTGGGCAGATGAGAGGTGTGGGTACACTGGCGACCTCGTTGCCCCGGCCCTCCCTCTCTATAACACCGGCTCCCTCCCAGGACACAGGCTCTGGGGAGGCACCCAGAGAAAGAGAAGAGATGGGGCAGCCTGGGGCAGGACTGTGGGGCACGAGCCTGCGGCCCAGGTGGGCTGTGGGCAGCCCGTCCCTGCTGCCAGCAAAGCCCCTCGGGTGCAGCCTGGGGTGCCCGGCAGGACCAGCTGACCAGCTCAGACTGCCGTTACATGGAGCACAGGACACAGCACGGTGGCAGGAAACCGGGTCCTTGGAGGGGCATGGGGCGGCGAGGGATGGCGGACTGCGCCTTGGACTCACATGCTACACCCAGCTGGGTCCCTGTCTTACCCTGCCTCAGTCTGCCTTCCTATGGAATGGGCCTCGGTGGGCGACTCTGGAGACAGAGGGGCCAGGTGGACGCTTGGAGCCCGGCTTCACAGAGGCAGCCACCCACAAGTGGCCCCCAGCACTGCGGCCTTGGCTGTGGCTCCCAGCTCCAGTCCTCGCCACTTGGGCTCCTGGGAGCCAGAGCCAGCGCTTCCGCCTGCGGGGATGGAGGAGGGCCGGGCCGGGCCGGGCCGGGCCGTGGGCACCAGGCCTCGGAGGGCGGCCTGCCCTACCTGCAGGTTCTTCCTCCACACGTTCACCGCCGCGAACGCCAGCTGCATCTGCTTCCGCCGGGCGTCCTTGTGCCGTTTGTAGGCGATCTCGATGAAGATCAGGAAGATCCCGGCCACGATGCCCCCAGCCACCAGCATGAAGACCCCTGGGGGCGACACCCAGTGCCTCAGCTGTGGCTGCTCCGGCTGCGGTCCCCTGGGGTGCCCATCCAGGGTCAGCAGGGGCCTTGACGGGGGGGGGGGGGGGGGGGAGGGGGGAGGGGGCCCACCTGCCATATTCTCGAAGGTGAGGGTAGCAGGGGCATTGCTACGCGAATCGCACTCCTGGTACCGAACCCACGTCTTGTCCAGGTCTTCCATGAAGCCGTTCTCGTGGGACCTGGGTGGGCCGGGCGTGTGAGCCCGGGCGGGGCTCGCGGGGCGGGGCGGGGTGGAGAGGGGGCGGGTGAGGCCGGCTCACTTGAGGATGGACAGGGAGACGTTCTGCTTCCAGGGGCTGTCCTTGCGCATGCCGATGCCAAAGCCCGAACGGAAGAAGAGCTCGCCCGTGGTCACCAGGTCGCACTTCTGCGAGGCCTCGAACTCCAGCACGGCCGAGTCCCAGATGAAGGCGTGCAGCTTGCTGCGGGCAGGGGCGGGGTCACGGGGGCCACGCTTCCAGGTGGCCCTAGCTCCCCGCGAGCCTTCCTCCTGCCAGCTGGGGACCCGCCGTCTGTCCCCTCCCCGCGGCTCCCACACGGCCGGGACACTGACAGTGGATGTGGACGCCCCCAGCTCGTCCAGCCCGCCCTTCACTCCCGCCCCGCCCTCCCCGCCGTCAATCGTCGCCCAAGGTCTGGGTGGCCCCGCCCTCACTTGTCCCGCACCGCCCGGATGGCTCCGCCCCGCCCTCACTGGCCCCGCCCCCTCCCTTGTCACACGTCCTGGATGGCCCCGCCAAGCCCCGCCCCTCACTGCCCCCGCCCCGCCCCGCCCCTCATTTGTAGCGCCCCGCCCCCTCGTCGCGCACGGCCTGGATGGCCCCTGCCCGCCCTTCACTGCCCCCGCCCCGCCCCTCACTTGCAGCGCACAGCCTGGATAGCCCCGCCCTCTCACAGGTCCCCGCCCCGCCCCTCACTGGCCTCCGCCCCCTCACCTGTCGCGCACGGCCTGGATGGCCCCGCCCCCTCTGGCCCCGCCCCCTCACTGGCCCCTCCTGGCCCCTCCCGGCCCCTGCCCGCCCCTCACTTGTCTCGCACGGCCTGGATGGCCTCCGCCGCGCTCTCGTAGTTGTGCTTCTCCATATGCCGGTACATGGTGCTAAGCTCCACCTGCCGCCGGAAGTAGATGTCCACCGAACTCTGCTTCACCGTGGCGTAGATGAACTTGTCCGAGGGATTCCTCAGCTGCGGGGTCAGAGAGCCAGGCTCGTGGCTGCTCCCCGGCCCCACCCCAAGCGGCGGAGGGCCTGAGCGCCTCCCTCCCCAGCCCCCAGCCGGGCCCGGCCTCACTCGCGGGTCGTTGATGCCGGTGATGCGCTCTTCGGGCCGGTCCAGCACCAGGAAGGCCGCCAGGTTGGCGGTGTAGGAGGCCACAATGATCATGGCGAACCCCGCCCACACCATGCCCAGGATGCGCGCCGAGAAGCTTCTGGGGGCGCCTGCAGGCAGAGGACCGTCAGTTCGGGGCGGGCGGCGGGGCGGGACGGGGCCCTGGCCTGGCGTCGCCTCACCTTCCCCGATGCCTGAGTTGAGCAGGACGCCCCATGAGAACCACATAGCCGAAGACAAGGTCAGCGCATCCTCCTCCTCCTCCTCGCTGTTCACTTTGAACCGGCCGAAGGGGCTGCGGGGGCGCAAAGGGCGGGCGGGAGAGGGCGGGAGGGGCAGCCTGCCCCGGCCCTCACCCGCTCCGCCCGCCCGCGGGGGGAGGAGCCCGGCCCCCGGGCCGCACTCACCTGAAGCGGTCCAGCAGGTAGAGCATCACAGCCACCACGTGCACGGACAGCCCCACCAGCAGCCACAGCGTGCTCTGGAAGGGCTGCATGAAGGAGTCCAGCGTGCTCCGCGGGATCTCCTGCGGGGCCACAGGCCGTTAGAGCCACGGCAGCCCTCCCGGGACGCCGCCCCGCCCCGCCGGGCCTCCGCGCACCTTCTTGACCAGAATGGTCAGGCCCTGGTACTTGAAAGGCTTCGAGAACTCGATGTACTGCGCGCGCTCGTTGTTGATGGTCAGCGGGGCCACGATCATGTCCGCCTGCCCGCTGAGCAGCTCGCCCATCATCCCGTTCCACTCCTTCTTATTGCTGTTGTTCACCTGTGGGGCGACCCCGCCGGTGGGGACGCGGACACCGCGGACACCGCGGACACCACTCCCCAGACAGGCTCCAGGCCCGACCCATCTCAGGGGTCATCCACTCCAGACTCCTCCCAGGCTCGCGCCCCGCCCGCCGAAGACCGTCCGGGGAGCAGGACCCGGTCCTGCGCCGGCTCCCAGGGACCGCTCCTACCCTCTCCTGCGTGCCGAACTTGCCGTCGGCCACCAGGTGAACCTCGTAAGTGAAATTCATGGTCCGCGCCAGCTTGATGAGCAGATCGATACAGAAGCCGTAGCAGCACTGGGGCACAGTGTGGCGCGCTGGGCGAGGGGGCGGCGCGGTGAGCCGAGGGGCTCGCAGGCTCGTGGTCCCTGCCGCCCGCCCGAAGCCAGTGCCCCTGGCTCCCGCACTCACGGCTGCCCGGCGACGTGTCATTGGGCCCTGTGCAGATCACCTTCTTGACCGGGTCCCCATTGACGGTGAACTCTTCCTTGCATGTGCCGTCACTCAGCGTAGGCTTGACATACACAAAGGGCTCCTGGTGGATCGTCACAATCTGGGGACAAGAGGACACACGGCCTGGACCACCAGCCCTGGGCTGTCCTGGGCACTGCCCTCTTCTCAGCACCCAGACTTCCCTGGAGCCCCCCTCCCCAGATCCCTGACATTTCCTGCACCACCCCCTCTCCATGGCCCCCTTCAGGCAGCCATCAGCCTGCTGCCCCCAGCAGGGGCGCCAGACCCCAAGGCTTCACCCAGGTCGTAGAGGGTGCCTGGCCTCCTGGAACACCGTGCCCTCTCTCGGCCACTTTTCCTTCAAGTCCTGGCCTGCGGAACAGTCCCTCGGTCACTGGAGCCTGCCAGAACGTCTAGTCTGCCCTGGGCTCCTTACTCTGACTTGTTGAGGCTGAGGACCTCCCTGTCCCAGCCCAGAGCCTACCCCCTGTCCCCACCCCTGCCGTGAAGACAGGGGCATGTCCACTCAGAGCCTGCCCAGGACTAGGGACACACAGGGGCCGCCCTTGTCGGCTCTTCTAGCTTCTCCTGGCCTCAGCCTCCACCCACAGGGGGTCCTTGTCTGATCATCTACCCTCTCTCCCTGCCTCTCCCCCGCTGAGGCTGCCCTCTCTGCCATGGCCTCTTCAATCCAGGGGATCCTTGGGGCTCACACTGGGCACTCTCTCCTCTCTTTCCTTCAGAGCCCTGAAGGCTGGGAGTAGGCAGGATAGACACAGGCAGAGGAGCTGAACCAATCACTGCATGGGATGAGGGGTCCCAGGGGACACAGTGCTGGGATTGAGTCTACCAGGTGAATGGGGTTGGTGAGAGAGGCCCCTTCTCCCGCAGGGTGACCAGCCCACCCAAGGGCAGGGGATTGGGAGCGCCTGAAGAGGCTTATTTGCCTTTAAAACTTTCATCACACTTTCTATTATACAAGTAATATGCTCATGCTTTTTAAAAAATCAGTGAGACGGAGGAGGGGTAAACTGGGAGATTGGAATTGACATATACGTACACTACGACACATCAAATAGATAACTAAGATCTACTGCATGGCACAGGGGACTGCACTCAGTGACCCGTGTGGGGATAGAACCTAAAAAGAGTGGATATATGTGTGTGTATAATTGAGTCACTTTGCTGTACAGAAGAAACAAACACATTGTCAATCAACTATCCTCCAAAGAAAATTAATCTGAAATAAACAATTTAGTGTCAAAAAAATAAGTGACACACAAAAAAAGTTCTCAAAGGCCTTCTGGCTCTCAAAGCCTATAGGGGACCATCTTGGCCATCTGTTCTGTCTGTTTTACACTCAGACTTTTCAACACAAGGCATCTGTCCTGAGCGTTGGCTTGGGGAAACTCCCTTCTGCCCATAGACAGGGTTGATGACCTGTGGGCAGGTGCAGACAAAGAGGTCCAGGTGAGAGGCCATGGGGGTTGGGTAGCTCAGAAAGCAGAGGAGGTCAAGAGAGGACCTGGGGACACCACAAGAAGCATGGTGTGAGGCTCCTTGCCTTTGGTGAGCTCAGGTACCAGCCTGATGCTGGTGTGGGTCACTGTGGGATGGACTCTTGGGAGGCACCCTGGGATGAGCCCAAAGGAGCATAGCAGAGTCGGGACAAGGAAGAGAAGCTGTGAGAGATGAGGTCCCGGGGGAGGGGCTCCCAAAGGCCCAGTGAGTCACAGAGGGGCTGGTCAGCACAGGGAGACCAGGCTCAGAAGGACAGTCTGAGCCAGTCCCAGCAGGAAGCCAGGAAGGCCAAGGGTGGGCGATGGTCTGGGACCACCTGGAGGAGTGCCAAAGAGTGTGGGGGCATCATCTCCAGGACCGGGGCTCAGGACTCAGAGTACTGAAGTCCACAGAAAGACCACCCCTCTGTCCCTTGTCCCCAGGGGAGCCCGGGTCCACATGGCTGCCCCAGGCTTAAGCGGAATGGGGTCAGGAGGGGCTGGGGAGCGGGGCTTCCCCTCCTCCCCTCCGCCGCACCAGGTGTGTGCAGTGGCCGTGGGTGCTGGGCAGGTCCCAGGACTTTTAGTCACTTTCAGGGCCCTCACTGTCCCTTCTGCACCCGTGGCACGGATGGAGGCTACAGCGTGCGGAGCCTGGGGCAGGGAGGCGGGGCCCCCACCTTCAGCCTGGTGGACATCTGATAGCCACGTGGCTTCTCGGTCTCTCCGCCTGGCCAGATGATCTTCCTGTCATTGGGAATGACCTGGGGGTGGGAGTATGAGATGGAGGTGGCCACGCAGGGGTCTCGGCCCCAGGACCCTAAGGCCCCAGCCCCCACCCCCTCATGACCCCCACCTACATGAGTGCCGTTGTAGATGCCCACTTGTACCAGCTTGCGGTTCTGCAGGTTCATGATGCTGTAGTTGGCAAACTTCCGGTCCCCGTCCTCGTTGAATTCCACACGGCCGGTCACCCCGTCTGCGTACTTGGAAGACATCAGCACCCTGGAGAGGGCAGTGTGGTTGGAACGATCAGGGATGCAGTCCCCACTCCCACTGTGAGCCGCCAGTGCCACCAGATGGACAGCACAGCCACGTCAGCCAAGAAGCCCCTCGGCTCTAGACCCTGTTTTGAGGGCTTCCTGTGGGCTGGGACATTTGATTCTCACAGCTTTACAGATGAGGTGGCAGAAGGCCAGGGAGGACGCGGTGTCCCATTCACCAGCAAGTGGAGGAGGCTGTGTTGAGGTCTCATCTTCCTGGGTGTGCACAGGTGTGTGTGTGTGTGTGTGTGTGTGTGTGTGTGTGTGTGTGGTGTGTCCACTGGGCCATATATGTGTGCACACACAACATCTTTGTATGGGGTGCAGCCCTGTGCATGTACTTGTGGCACAGGTGTGATGTTCCATGAGCCTCTCTGAATCTGCATATACACGCATGCGCCTGCGTGCACATATGCTGCGTGTCTGCAGTTGTGTGTGCTCCTGCTGTGGGCACCACAGACCGGGACTCTGCACCTGCTAATTGGGGGTGGGTGTAGGTGATGGACTGGGCCTCCCCATACTAGTGGCTTGGTGTCCAGGGTTCTCTGTGTTAACTCCTGCCTTGCTGCAGCCACCCACTGTGTCTCTGGCCAACCCTGGCTCTCGGCAGGCTCGGATGTGCTTAGTCACTCAGTCCTGTCTGACTCTTTATGACCCCATGGGCTGTAGCCCTCCAGACTCCTCTGTCCATGGGGATTCTCCAGGCAAGAATACTTGAATGGAGCGGGTTGCCATGCCCTCCTGCAGGGGATCTTCCCAACCCAGGGATCGAACCCAGGTCTCCCGCATTGCAGGCGGATTCTTTACCATCTGAGCCACCAGGGGAGCAGGCATGGGTGCCATCCCCCAAATCCTTGTCTGACCTTCTGGGCCTGAGGAAGCTCCCAGTGCCCGCCTGAGGCAGGATCCTCCCCCCGCCCCAGGGCTGTTAGTCATCCTGGGGATTGGGGTGGGCTCTCAGGATTGGCTGCAGTGTTTATAGGTGGGGACGGGGGCAATGGAGGCAGCCATGCTTCTGTGACATTCGAGGCGATGGTGTCAGCGTTGGAAATGGACCAGACGGTTATCACAGCGGGGATGGAGGTGAGGATGGAGACGAGGTGGGGACAGAGACGAGAGGTGAAGAAGGCTGTGTCTGTAGGCGCAGCACGCTGGGCTGGAGCGACTCTTCCGGTTCCGGAACGGTGGCCCGCCCCGCCTAGAAGGGCGGCCCCACCCCCTCAGACGGAGCGGCCCCGCCCACCCTGGGAAAGTGGCCCCGCCCACCTCCTGAATAACAGTCCCGCCCATCTCAGAGAAAGGCCCTGCCCACCCTGGAAGAGCGGCCACGCCCGCCGCATGAAGAGCGGCCCCGCCCACCTTGGAAGGGCGGCCCCATGCCCTCAGACGGAGCGGTCACGTCCACCTCAGAGAGATACTACATTTGATCTTAGCCAAAAGGCCGAGAAGCGATTCCACTTCAGAGAGAGACCCTGTCCTCATCAGATCAGCTCGCGCACCTTGGCAGAATGGCCCCGCCCACCTCTTGAAGAGCGGCCCTGTCTTCCAGATGTTGGTGTTGCCCACGCAGCCCCGCGGAGGGTCGGTGATGTTCTCCTTCTCGAGCAGCTCGTGCACGGCCTGGGCCACCACGCCCACGGCGTCGCTGATGTGCGCCGACTCGTTCTTGCCGTTGATGAGCTGCAGCCCGATGATGCCTGGGGCGAGGGCTGGCTTAGAGCCCGTGGGGGAACCCCTGCCCACCGGACCCGGGAGCCCAGCACTCACCGTCCGGGGCGTAGCGCAGGGCGTTCCCCGAGATCTCGCGCTCCCCCACCAGCCACACGTACCCCGAGCCCGTCATGTTCAGCATCGCGGCTGCGCGGTACACGGTGGCAGCGTCGTCCTCGCTGTGGGGCAGAGCGGGGTGACGGCCAGGACTCCAGCTCTCCCCACCCGCGGCCGGCGGCGGCTGCTCGGCTCCCAGGTCCTCCTCCACAGCGTGGCCTTCCCCTGCCTCCTCCCCCGCCCCTGGCCTGCAGGGAGCTCTGGAGGCACTGCAGAGATGGGGGCAGCCCCTCCCCCGACCCCTCCCCCAGCCGGCACTGCACCTGGGCCAGGAGACCAGCCACGAAGTGATGGGGTGGGGCCCAGACCCCCAGAGCTTGCCAGAGGTCTCTTGCTGGCCCCCCGCCCTTGTGGACAGGGTTAGGGTGACACGGATGGTGATGGATCATTATTGATGGATAACTTGCTCATCCGCCCCAGACACTATTCTGAATGCTTTCCATGCACCTTTGTATTTAATTTTCACAACCTCCCTGAGAGGCAGGCAGAACATGATCCCTGGTCAGGACAGGGCCTGAGGAGACAGGGCACACGGTGGGAAGCGGAGGGTCGGGTATGTGCCTGATAATCCACCCCTGAGCCCGTGCTCCTACAGCTTCCTGGGCAAGCCACACCCCTCTGGTTCCACGCCTGAACTTGTGAACTGAGAGGTTGGGGCCTTTCTGAATGCTGCTGGGACCAAGTGCCAGGGTGCTGCCCTGAGCCTCGCAGCAGAAGCCACTGGGGGGATGAGGGCACCTGCTCTCCCTTTTGGAGTTTGAACAAGCATCTCTGGGTGCCCAGCCCTGGGTGCTCTCCCTGCTACCCTGGGCAGAGCCCCTGGCAGGACAGAGCACAGGCCTCACTTTGCAGGCACACGCTGTCCTGAGCTCTTGGTGGACTGAGTCACAGCTGAGCCTCTGTGGACTCCGCCCCCCCGGGCTGGGCCCCCCCTGGTCAGGACAAGCACCCTGGGCCTGATGGCACTCCCACCTCGTCTTCCCTGCAGGGTGGAACTTGACCCAGGACACAACGGACACTTTGCTTCTCTAATGCATAGGCAGCGGGGGACAATGCAGTTCGGGAGATGGTCTGAGGGCGGGGTTATTTTACAACTGCTGATGCGGGAAACCCAGGCAGCCCTAGGAACCCTAAGGGGTCGGCCCCCAATTTTCTCAGGAAAAACGCAAACCTTCAGTGTTTGCTTTAAACAAGAACGCAACCCAAAATAGAGGTGCTTCAGGCTGCATCCAGCCAAGATGGCCGGCAGCGCCAGTGCGTGCATATCGGGACGCGGCACCCCCAAAGCCTGGGGGAGAGGCCTGTCTGCCTGACACCATCCAGGTCTGCGAGGCTGGAGCTGGTGGTGAGCACACTCCCGTGCCTGTGTCTGTGAATCGATACCTTCAGTAAAGCAGTCGTGGGAAAGCCTGATCAACATCAAACTGTTTTATGGAAATAACTGATCCCAGTAAAGACAATTTCAGGAGGACTACTTTAAAACAAAGTTTGGAAACAAATCATAAATTCTTACATGCTCAGTAGAAAACTGGTCAAAAGCTAAGACTGGCTTAATGAGGTCTCTCTGCAAAATGCTCTCAACAGGCTTCATGAGGAGGAGCCAGGGGGTGTCGGGTTGGGGACAGGGTGAACCTAGGGCTGCATCTGCCCTGCCCAGGGGACTGCCGGCGCCCCTGGGCTCCAGGAGTGGACTGTGCCAGGCCGGCTGGTCTCCTCCTGTGGTGGGACACTGGCCTCTCTGCTCCGAGGTCCTGTGTGTGGGGGCAGGGGTTGCTTCCCACTTGAAATTCAGAGACCATGAGTGGATTCAAGAGGTGGGCATGTGGTTGATGAATGCTGTGCCTCTGCAAACAGTGAATGTACATGTGTGGGGCCTGCACACTGTGTAGTATGTGGCATACATGTCTGTGCTCATGAGCATGTGTGTGCCAGTGTGGTGTGTCTGCTCAGGTATCTAGATGAGCACGTGTTTGTGAGTGCGTGTGTGTGTTGTGTGTGGTGGTGTGCCTGTGTATGTATATGAACGTCCTGTGTATATGGCACATACATGTGTACACAAGGGTGGAGAAGCAGGTCACGTGCACATGTTTGTGTACAGTACATGTATAGACAGCTTGTGGGTGATGTGTGTTCAGTGGATGCGTGTGAGTACGTGTGCTGTGTGTGCCTGTGTAGGGGATTAGTGCCTGCTGTCTTGCAGCCCGAGGACTAGGCTCTATCCCGGGGAGACTGGAGGTGGGGCACCCCTGGGTCTCACCCCTGCTGGAGCCTGCAAAGTTTCTGGGACAGGCAGACAGTGGGGTGGGTCTCCCCAGGAACCCCCTGTCCCATGGGGCAGGGTGCTTCCATTTCCTATTTCTGGTGGCCTAGCCTTTCCCTTCGCAGGAGGACGGAGCCATTTGCATAAAGGGAGGCTTTTACTGGGGCTCAGCTCCAAGGTCGCAGTGGGGCCAGGCCCCTCCATCTGCAACCAGGAGGTCGGGTCCCTAACCAGTCGCCGCTCCAGCCCTCCCACCCCAGGGCCCCGGCCCTCTTCCTGCTGTGGGCTTTCTCTGCAGGCCCCTCGCCCCCTCTCGGGGCCCTCTCCCTGACCAGCTCCCAGAACCCCAGTCAGTCACTACCTCCCGGGGCCACCTCTGCCTTGTTAAGGGCAGGGGCTTATCCCTCTGCCGTCTCCAAGGCCCTGTGTGTGCGCGTGGGGGGCGGGGGGCATTTGGGAGGCAAAGCCCAACATCAGCAGGGCACACCCTGGGTCTGGCCCCGGGGTGGTGGAGGGCCCAGCCTGGCCTCACCTGGCGGAGAGGATGATGACCCGGGCCTCCAGCTCCCGCGCTTCCATCAGCAGCGCCGTCACGTTCTTGGTCCCCGGGTCGAACTGCAGCACCTTCTCCGCCTGCAGTGCGAGCGGGAGTGTTAGCAGGAGGCCGGGGCGGGGGACACAGCGCCTCAGGGGCGAGAGTCGAGCTGCAGCCGCTAGGAACCCCGAGGCCGCGCCCTAGGGCCGCCGCGGCCTGCCTGCCGCCTGCACTGCCAGCTGCCTGCCCTGCTGCGCCGGCCTTCCTGCGTCCTCCTCCTGCTCGCTCTGCTGCTCGCTCTCTGCGCTCCGCTCTCTCCTCCTCTCACTCCTGGCCTCACTTTTGCACTGAGCATGCAAGTTGAAGTGGACCGAGACTCAGAAAGAGGCGTGCAGCGGACAGGAAACAGAAAAGTTTTGGAATGCAATCCAAAAAGGCGGAGATGGGCCGCCTTTTCCAAAACCTCGGGAGGTCCTCCGGGGCCTGGTCCGCCGGCCCTGCGGGAGCGGCCCGGACTGGACTGCAGGCGGGCGGGCGGGCTCCCTCCTGGGTTCCGCGAGGAAACCCGGGGGCCCGGAGATTCACATGCACTCCCCAGAGAGCCGCTCCTCCTGCGGGCCACCTGCGGGCGGGGGCCCGGCGGCCGGCACCGGCCTCTCCTGCCTAGGCTGCCTGCTCTGGACCTGGCTCTCCTTCCTCTCTGCTCGGCCGCGGCGTGGCGCGGCTGGGCCCACGGCAGCCCTGGTGGCCGAGGCGCCCGGCCGGGGCTCCCTAGTCGTGGGTGGCGTGCACGTCCATGCATATATACCTTGGGTCCGCGCTTGTGGTCATAGGACAGTTGGTCGAGGTTTTCATAGTTCCTTTTTTTACTCTGATGAATAATGTGCACAGAGAAAATATGCAGACACAGAAGAAGATTATAAACGGTTGAAAATGACGGCGCTAAAGCAATCACACCACCTCCTCGGCACGTCTGCAGACGGGCACGTACCTGGAGCTCGCAAACACCTAGGCCGGGGCGGGGCCGGGGCCGGGCCGGGGCGGGGCTGGGGCCGGGACGGGGCAGGGGTGTGGGGCGCTGGGGCCACTGAGGCTCCCTGCCTGCCTGGAGTTGCGCTCGTGGAAACGGTCACACTCAGGAGAGAGGGAGGCCCTGTCTGCCTCCAAGTGAAACACACCCCCTGGGGATCCCACCTGCCCCCAACCCGGCCATGCACCTGCCGTGGGGTGCCCACCACACCCCCCCAGCCACGTGGGCCCTGAATGGGGTGGCGTCCCCTCCCCCAGCCCTGTCCCCTCTCCCTCCCCTCCAGCAACCCCTTCTGCCCCTCTGGGAGGTCCAGTGTCCTGCCCTCGCTGATGCGTGTGACGGATGCCCCTGCCACCCCCGTGTGCACTGAGTGGTTTTGACGGAAGTTCGTGAGCACAGGCGCATCTGTGGGTGTCCGCATGCGAGTGTCAGCCTATGTGAGCATGTGGCGGTGGGGGATGAGGGTCAGCGCGTCTGAGCGCATGTGTGCGTGCAGGCACCTGAGTGTGAATTCGGGGTGAATCCTCTCACGGGCACGGGCCACCTGTGAGCCTGCTGGGCCACGGCGGGTGGGGGTGGAGGGAGCCTGGGTCCTGAGTCTGCGACGGAGGGAGTGGATGTTCTTGGGAGCAACCACACGTGCCTGTGAGAGGGAGCGTGTGGCTGGGCGTGTGGGCGTGTGTGAGTGTGCACGCGTGCAGCCACCCCGGGAGGGGACGTGCCCGCCTGGTGCTGTCTCAGGAGGGGGCCCTGCGGTCCTGGGAGCCAGCCCTCCCTCCCAGGTTTAGGCCATCCCCTAAGGCAGGACCCCCAGGGCCCTCTGGGTCTGCCCTCTGCTTCCCCCCAGCCGCTCTTCCCTTCAGGGCCTATGGCACCTTGGGGGGCCTGGGTTGGCACTCAGCTTATTGAAGCCAACTCCGCCTCTGCACACAGCGCGTGCTCCCGCCACCCCTGGGTCTGGCCTCCTGGGGCCTCCCCAGCCTGGGCCTCCCTGCCCGGCTTGGCCACCACCCAACCCGGGGAGGGACACAGCCCGGGTGCAGAGCGCCCGGGGCTCTGGGCTGGGTGGAAGCGGGACCCTGGGTTTCCTCTGGTAGTGGGGGTGGGTGAGGAGGGGGTGGGGGTCACCTGGACCCCCAGAAACACCACTCTGGTCTTTCCACCGCCCCAGGGATGGGGGTCAGCTGGACAAGAATGGTCAGTTAGAACCAGGCACCTAATTGGTCCCCAGGAGGGGTCCAGAGCCTGGGCGGGGAGGAGAGAAGGGGCCAAAGAGGGGCAGGGCCAAGACTGGGAGTGGGGCTGGCAGACGTCCCTGGATGGGGCTTCTGTGAGATTGACCGGCAGCGGCCAGGCGAGGGCGGCTGCTCAGTGAGGCCAGCAAGAGGACACGGGAGGGGTCACAGCAGAGGGGACTGATCTTTCGTGCAGGGGACGCGGCGGCGCCCCGAGTGAGGGCCGAGCCTGGGGCCTGAGCGGGCTGGGGGAGGGGAGGGGGCGGGGCGGGGTGTTTGCGGAGCTCCAGGTGGTCCTGCCCTCGCCCCGCAGGGACTGACACGAAGGAGATTTCGACTAATGGCAAAAGCGAGTGAGATGAGCCGAGGACAGGCTGGGGCGGGCGCTCGCCAGACGGAGTGGTGCTGAGCATGCACGATGGAAAGAGAAGGGTGTTCACACGGGCCACAGACACAGCGGCGGCTCGCCGGCTCCTGCGCGCGGCGCCCCGCCCGGGCCTCACCTTGGACTCGCGCTCCTCCAGCAGCGTCTCCAGGCGCTTCTGCGCCGCCCGGCCCTCGTGGTCGTCGCTGACCAGGAGGATGACGTGGTTCCAGCTGTAGACGCGCATCATCTCGAACCAGACGCTGGACTGATGGGAGTAGGGCGGCACGGTGCGCAGGAAGCTCAGGTGGATGCTCTGCGGGGCACAGGAAGGCTGAGTGCGCGGCCAGAGACCTCGGCCAAGGCGCGCGCGCTGCAGACCCCGCCAGGGCGCTGATCCAGCTCTCGGCGTACAGACCCCGGACCCTCGGCTTCCCCGACTCCTCCCGGCCCACTGTGACTTCTCCCCACACCACATCATCTCATCTGAGAAACAGGCTGGGCTTGCCCTGACTGAGACGGGGGTGGGGGGCGGGCTGTGGAATTTTTACTGGGGTGACTCCCCCACCTGCCCGCAGACACCCCAGCTCAGCTACTCTGGCTCAGAAAGTTCTTGCTGAAGTGCAGCATCTCAGAGACCCGCACGGGTCCTCGAATTTAAATGACCTGTCTTTCTGAGGAAACCTCCCTCTTGGGGCCACATTCCTGTCTCTTGGCCTTGTCTGGTTTTTGCTCTAACCCTCACGCTGGCCCTGCCTGCTTCTCTGAGGGCACCGCCTGTGGGCGAGGGGCTGAGCAGGCTCCCCCCTCCTCCGTGTCTGTCCAGGGAGCAGGGCTCCTGGGGACCACCTTCGTCTGCTCCCTCTTGGTGCCTTGGAATCTGGGCTCAAGAATGCCCTTTGCCTCTGTCTGTCCTCCGGCAGGTGGCACGGCTGCTGGGGCACTGTGGCTGCGGTGTCAGGCTGGCTCTGACCCAGGTGGGTCTGCTCCGCTTGCTGGGCACAGATGGTCAGGGGTTTATTCTAGGAGTAGGGTCAAGGTGGAGCTCTAAGATCTGGCTGCTAGGTGTGCCCTCGTGCCGGGCCACGGTCTGGATCTGGGGTGGGGGCCGGTGATGGCCCGCATCCTGCCTAGGAGAGAGCTCCCCACCCCAGCCTCTCCGTGCTCCCGGCTGCTGTCCTCCCTGGAGGCACTTTTCGGGCCTGGTGCCCAGAGAGGTGAGGAAGGCAGAGGCTGGAAGGTGCAGGAGGGAGCCCTCCACTCATGGTTGAGGTGTAAGTGCCTCTGAGCAGCGTGGGAGGCTCTGCTGTGACGGGTTCCCAGAGCCTCGGGAAGAGGGGCTGCCCCGGCCTCCGCTGGCCTCCTCCCGCGGGGTCATCCCGGGGGACCCCTCACTCTGCTCTCTCTTTGCCGTCGTCCCTGGCCTCCCTGGACATCCTGGGCCTGGCTGAGATGACCTCTGTGACTCAGGCGGTGTTATCTAGAGCTCGGGGCTCCAGACAGGATGAATTTGGAGCAGATGGGGAGAGCTGGAAGGCCCCCAAGAGCCCAGCCCTCTGCCCCTCGGCTCAGACACCGAGCCAGAGTCCACAGTCTGTCTGCAGGTGGCCACCCCAGTGTTCTCACCTGGAGGACCCCATGGACGGGGGAGCCGGGCAGACTGAAGTCCATGGGGTGGCAGAGCCGGACACGACTGAGCGGCTGAGCACGCAGGTGGCCCCAGGCCTGGAGGGCCACATGCAGCGGGCTGACCACCCCCCAGCCTCTTGGTGGCATTTGCTCCCAGCTGACCAGTCCTCCCAGAGTTGGGGCAGACGCTGCGGGAGAGCTGTGCGAGCCAGGGCACGGCCCCGCTGCTCTGGGGGCGAGTTTCCTGCCAGCCTGACTCGGCGGCCTCTCGACTCTCCCAGCTGCTGCCCCACGGTTAGACGGCTCCAGCCAGACCGCGGCCCGAGCGCCAGGAGGCCGCCCTGAGGGCCGCACCCCGAGCCCGCCCCGCCGTGAGCTGCCGCCTGGGTTCCCCCAGCATCAGGTGCAAGCCTCGCCCAGCTGCGCCTCTAGTGGCGGGGCTGGAAACGACGCCCTCCCTGGTCCCGGGTGTCGCGGCCCCTCCAGGCGGCTCCTCCTCCTGGAGCACCCTTTTCCAAGGGCCCCCGCTCCGCTGTCCGGGAAGCTGCCCCGTCGGTCCCTCTTCTGGCCCACGAGGGCCTCTGCTGCTCCCGGGGTTTGCTTTCGGCGCCTGTCAGTGGGCTGTGTGCCAGAGTGTGCGTGGGTGTGGGCCTGGTGCCGTATGTGATGGGGCGTGAGTGGGGGCGCGGTGTGAGCATACGTGTGGGCGTCAGCATGTGTAAGAGCATGTGGCTGTCCCTGTGGCTGTCTGTGGCTGTGTGCGTGTAGGCGCGAGTGGACACACATGTTCGCATCTGAGTTTGTGTGAGTGTGAGTGCTATGCGTGTGTGCCGGTGTGCAGGTGTCTGGGTGAGTTCGTGTGTCTCTGTGAGACTGCATTCCGGTGTGAGTTGTGAGTGTGCCTGAATACATCATCCTGAGCCCAGAGCCCGTGGTCTGAGCCCCTCTGCCTGCGCCCCATGCCCCCTCCCCAGGCAGCTGCTGGTGGCCCTGGGTCTGCCCATGGGGGCACAGCAGTCAGACTTACCTTGTCTGAGTAGATGGACATGCGCGTGGTCAGCCCCAGGACGGGGATGCGGTAGAAGCCGGCTGTGTAGGAGACGGGGGTGGGTGTGAAGTGGTCGTTGGGGGTAGGCGGGTGGCTAACTAGGATGGCATAGACCTGCAGGGACGGGGACACAGTCAGTTCAAGCGGGCGCGGGAGGCCCTGCCCCAGAGCCGACCGGCCAGCGGCAGCAGGGGCAGAACTCAGCAGGCAGGGGCTGTCTGGGGGCACTTGCGCCTCGTCTGGAGACAGAGAGAGAGCAAGGCTCCAGGGACTTGGACTTCCCTGGTGGTGCAGTGGCTGGGACTTCATGCGTCCAGTGCAGGGAGCCTGGGTTCAATCCCTGGTCAGGGAATCAGATCCCACATGTTGCAACTAAAGATTCCCAGTGTCACAGGTAAGACCCAGCACAGCCAAACCAAAAAATAATTAAAAAACAAGACTCCAAGGGCTAAGAAGACACACAGGGAGATGACAGACCCTTCCCCATGCTGCTGCTGTCTGGGGCCTCCCCTCTTGCCCCTCACACTGGGGGGCTGCCCTGAACCGCCAGTCTTTGTCCTGTCTGGGGCTGTACATGCTGCCGTGCCGTGGGCTGGGGAGACCCACACCCACAGCCCTCACCGACCCCCATCCTGGGTCAGAGACAGACAGAGGCTAATGCTCCAGAGATGGAGGGTGTCTCCAGAAGGCTCGCATGGAGCATTGCAGACTGAGAATTAGGAATTAGTGGGAGAAGCTGGACAAGAAGTCACCCAGAGGCATGGAGCTCTTGCTGGTGTCTTCCAGCGGCAGACTGAGCCCCGCTTGGTTTGAGCGAGATGCAGTGCTGACTTGGGCACCAACCGTATCCTCAAGGAGGCCTGAACTTCCCACCTGGACCAGTGGCTCAGCCCCAAGGCAGGGAGATGGGGCAGATGGCCTGGTAGTTCTGAGCTGCCCTCAGATTAGAAGGCCCTGTCTGTCCCATTTGTGCCTTCCCCTGTCTGAGCCACAGAGACCCCCTGCTTCTGCAAATGGGTGGGGAGAGTGCTGACCCCACGTGGTGGGGGTAATGGCAGCCATGCCCATGCCTGGCCCACAGCGTGTGGCAGTGAGTGACAGCTCCTGCTGTCACCATGCCTCCCGGCACTGGCTATTCCCTGGGAGAACGGTGCCCACAGGCAGCAAAACTGTAAGTTGGAGGAGGGATCCCCATAAAGCACCCTACCCCTTCTCCCTCCCTGCCCCCATCTGCACCCAGAGGTGGCTGGTCAGTCTTTGCCTGAGCATGTATGTGCATATGTGTGACCATGCCGGTGCTCACGAGTGTGTGCTGGGTGTGTGTGTGTATACAGCATGCCCAAGCATGTCTACTTGTGTATGTACATGTAGGTGCCTGCTTGAGCGTGTGTGAGCACATGTTCGCATATGTGGCACAGGAATGCATGTGCCCATGGAGATGCACGGGGGTGGGCGTCTGTGTTAATGAGTGTGCAGTGGATTGAGCAATGCCAACATGCATGAGTGAGTGCTAGTTTAAGTCTACGCAACACTGCACAAACATGGATGGATATGTGCGCACATGTGAGCATGAGTGTCCGTGGATGTGGCACGCCTGTCAGGTGAGTGTGTGTGAGCAGCATTTGGACCGGGGTCGGTCCGCCTCTTACATAAAGGGCTGCATTGCAGTGATCGGGCTGCCTCATTGGGATGCAGCAGGCGCGGAGCCTGGGGGCGGACAGCTCCGCAGGCAAAACCCTGGAGTTGTGTCCTCCCCCCCGCAGTGCGGGCTGCCAGTCGCTGAGCCCTGGTGCAGCCCACACACATCGTCCCCATCCCCACCCTAGAGAGCACCCTGCTTCAACACGTGGGCCATTTCCCCTGTCAGGCAGTCCTGTGGATGGGGGCAGGGGAGGGTGAAGGGATGGAGGTCTCCAAGACGGAATAAAGATGGCCCCAGGCCCCGTCCGGTTTAAAGCCCTGCGTGCTGCGAGTGGCTGGGCTGGCACCTCGCGGGTGGCCCGGGATGCCCGCCACCACCCTGACACACAGTGCCCAGAAAAACGGCCACATGTCCTCACACACCAGCTGGACCCCTGGTGAGGACAAGCCCCGGTGACAGGCGATTGGTCTGGGGCTAAGATGCAGAGCTGACGGCCCCCGGTGTTCAGCTGCTGGCGAGACCAGCCCTCTGGGTCCTTTCTCAAGGGGAGTGAGAGGGCGAGGGAAGGATGGAATGAAAGGGGGACAGCGGCAGGGACGGAGGGTAAAGCAGGGAGGATGGGGGAGGGGTGGGGAGGGGGAGGGGCCGACACAGCTTGAGCCGGGGGGGGGCGGGGGGGGCGGGCACCTGGCTGGAGATGAGGTCTTCGCACACCGACAGGGCCATCTGGATAGCGTTGGGCTTGTGGGTGACGGAGGTGGCGTTGAGCTGGATCTTCCAGGAGCCATGCCTCTTGTTGGCCTGATTCACAGCTTCGCGGAACATCTGCTCGTGCTTCCGCGTGCTGAGCACCGCGCCGATGTTGACGATCTTGGGGTCGCAGGCGGCGCGAGCGAAGGAGCAGGAGAAAAGCAGGGCTAGAGTCAGCAGGCGCATGGTGCTCATGGGCTCCGGGCAGCGCCCTGACTCTGGGCAGCGCAAACACGGGGCCCTCGGTGCATCCCCAGCGGGAAGCCCCGGCCGTCCTGCGCGCGCCCGATCCCGCGGACGGAGGGCGCCGCGTCTTCCCCGGGAGCCTTAGTCCTGCGACACCCGCGAGAGGGACGCGTGCTGAGAGGCTTCGACCAGCCGGGCGGCCCCGGGCCCGCGGCCCGGGTGGCGGGCGCTGTCCGCGGTGCTGAAGCGAGTCTAGCTGCCGCTCCGGGTGCCCCGCGCCGCGAGGACACGGCGGCGGCAGCTCCTCCGCCGGCTTCGCTGGTCCCGGTCCCAACGCTGCGGCGGCTGCGGCGACTGCGGAACGGCGAGCGGGGCCAACGTCGCCTGCCCCTCCTGCCGCCCCCGCTTCCCAACGCGGAGCCGGAGCGGGGGCGCCTCCCGCGCCAGATTGTGCGCCTGCGTTCGTGCGAGCGTTTTTCAGAGCGCGCGCCAGAGGGGGACGCCTGTGCGCGCACGCGTGTGCGCGTGTGTGAGCGCGTGCGGAGGGCCGCCGAGACTGTGAGACCTGGGCTGTCTGGCACCTGTAGGGAGTCGAGCATGAGGAGGTGAGAAGAGTTCGTGTCACCGCGGGCGGCCGCCTGTGTCCTCTAACAGGACCGAATGTGTTCGTGCCAGTTTGTGTGTGTGTGTGCGCGCGCGCACGAGCGCGCAGGAGTCCTCACCCACAGTCAGTGATATTTCGGGGCCTGAGTCTGTCGGCTGGAAAGCAAGGCCTGCGGAGAGGCCCTCAGCCGCGCCCCTGTGGGAGGCAGAAGGCTCAAGAATGGGGGCGAGGCCCCGGCCTCCTGGCCATGTGACTCGGGCTCCCTCCTAGAGAACTGAGAAGAATGGAGGGTGATAGTGACCGCCCCATGTTGAGCTGCATCTTCCAGGAGAGTCTGAGGGTCTGAACCCCAGCCAGCTGTGGGGAGGACACGCCAGAGGGGGTCGTGTCTGCAGCAGGTGGGAGGAGGTCTAGAGGTGAGGAGGCCTTGCTGATGCAGACACCCTGTGTGCACCGTTTCCACTTCTCCCCTCTCCTAGCGCACTCCCGGCGCCCAGCACCCCCTCCTGCCCCTTGACAGAACCTCCTTGTCCTTCCAGTCCTCAAGATCCCAATTCTTTGTCCTCACCCCCTCAACCCCCACCCTGTGCGTCCTTCTCCCTAATGCAAAGGATGGCTGAAGCTCCGCCCACTACCAGTGACATCACCGTTTCCAATAGCAACCGAGGATTCTGCAGATCCAACAGCAGAAGCCCCCAGTGGGGACAAAGCAGGGTGGTCCCTACACCTAAGCGATGTCCTAATCGGCGGAGAGGGGAGGGGCCAAGTCCCTCCCGACAGGATCCTGGCCCCGTCCCCTGCCTCTCTCAGCCCTATTCTGACTGGCCTGCCCCCAGTTCAACACAGACACTGCGGGAACCCTGGCTGCAAGACGAGGGCTGCAGCGCCTGGCATGCTCTCTTTCTTGTCCCCTTCTCTCTCAACGCGAGGAAATCATTGCTTGGGGGCTAATGTGCCCGCCTGCAGCTGCACCCACACATCGCTCTGTTCTGGGGGTGAGGTCCACAGCCTGCCGTGTGGCCTTAGGAGGGCTTGGGGGGTGTGCTTAGGGGCCCAGAGCCGGTCCCATCTTCACAGGGTCTGTGGCCTCTGGTGGTTCAGAGCTTGGAGTCTGCACAGGTGCATGGGGACAGGCAGCCAGCAATGCTGGCTCTGGTGTGGCCCCGACAGCTCCAGGTCAGTGCAGGGAAGAAGGAATTCAACAGGGGCCAAAGCCACCTAGGGGCCTGGCTCCTCCCACCCACCTCAGTCCCCCAGGAGGGGTTGCTGGAGAGACTCCTGTGGGGCCTGGAAAGAGAATTTCTAAATATTCCCTGACCCAGGGCCGGGGGTTCCACAGCTGGGAGCGTGAACACGGCCACGGCTGGAGCACAGACACCGTGGGTGCCATCCGAAGCACATCAGGGCTCTTTCTGCCCTTGAGGCCTGGTTACCGACCCAGCACCGCCTCCCCCAGGCCGTCGGCGTTCAAGCTTCTGCCCAGAGGCCCTCGCATGTGCCAGGTCAGTCTTTCCCATACTGAGTCTCTCCTGGGCTCTGCACCCCCTTTCACCTCATGGGCTTCTTCCACACCCCCAGCAAGAGGGGTGCAGCTACAGAAGGGCTCGACCCTGCTGCTTGCTGTGAAAGATCCTGCCGCGGGTTGAGGCTGCCTGAGCAGATGCCTGCCTGTGCCAAGATGCTTCAAAGCCTTATTAAGAACATTTGGATCACCATGAAGTTCTACTATATCCAAGCTTACCAGGAGATTTGGGTGGGAATGGGGTTAATGGGCTTCCTTGTGCTAGTGGTAAAGAATCAGCTTGTAATGCAGGAGACACAGGAGACTGGGGTTCGATCCGTGGGTTGGGAAGATGCACTGGAGAAGGATATGGCAGTCTGTTCTAGTATTCTTGCCTGGAAAATCCCAGGGACAGAGGAACCTGGTGGGCTACAGTCCACGGGGTCATGGAGAGTCGGACAGGACTGAGTGACTAAGCAGCAGAGCAGCTTATAAAATCAGGAGCGCTGATAAAAGGAGTGAAGCCTGGGGCTTCCCTGCTGGCCCGATGGTTAAGAGTCTGCCGTCCAACACAGGGGAAGGCTTGCTCCACATCCCACGCTGCGGAGCAGAGCTCTGGAACCACAGCTAGACAAGCCAGCGGGAACCACGCTCGGAGCCCATGAGAGCCTGAGCTCTGCAACAAGACAAGCCCATGCGCTGCGCTGCATGAAGGTCCAGTGCAGCCAAAGAAGTACATTTTAAAAGGAAAAAAAGAAAGAGGAGAAGAAAAAAAAACGTAAAAATAAAGGCTTGAAAGCTTCCAGGCCTGCGTCTGCTCATGGTCATCACTAACCGGCTTCACGTAAGTGGGACGTCGGTCTGGCTGGGTTGTGGTAACGTGGGACATGGTGTTGACTCGCAGCACTGCTGCTGCCCTAGGGCACGATTAAACGTGCCTGTGACTCACACAGACACCCAGAGACATCGCCAGGACTGGACCCCTGAGTACGGTGCATCAGATTCTGTGGTCAGGACGGAGGAATGCTGGGGTGCTGCCTCTGGCCCCCAGTGGGAGCGAGGTCCTGTCCATCCCAGGGGGAGCGGGGGAGCCTCCAGCTGCACCGCCAGGCCCGGGGCTCAACCCGAGCCCAACCCGGTTCCCCACGTGGAGGGAACTGCTTCCCCGCCTCCCCGACGCCAAGCCAGGGCCTCTAGCGAGGGCTGTCAATCACACACACAGCCCCGCCTTGGCCTTGGCCCATTGGCTGAGAGGGAGTCACGTGACTCAAGCTGCGGGCTCAGGGTTTTTCCCTAGGATATTTTGACCAAATCAGACAGCGGGGATGAGAACCGATCTCTGAAAGTTGAGTCACTTGTGGACTCTCTTCTGTCAGGAGGACGCTGACAGGCAGGTGGAGCCTTTGTACAAGTGCTGTGTCCAGACTCCTGGCCTGAGGCCAGTCAAGGGCCCGCCTCCAGACCTGGACTGGGGAGCTGGGGCTGGCCATCTGCGGGCCTGGCCACTGGGACTCTGTCCTCGATCTGGGGGAGCCCGCGCGCCCTCAGCAGCCATGGCTGCAGACGCCCATGGTGCCATCTTGCTTGCCCTCACGCTGATTTCCAATGCACACCATCTCCAGATGGTTCTACTGCCGGCTTCCCCCACAAGATCCTCCTGTCCTTGTCCTCACTGACTTTCCAAACCCAGGTTTCCGGGAAGCCCGTCTTCCCAACAGGTTTCCCAGGTGGCACAGTGGTAATGCAGGCGACACAAGAGATGTGGGTTTGATCCCTGGGTCAGGAAGATCCCCTGGAGCAGGAAATGGCAGCCACTCCAGCATTCTTGCTGGAAAATTCCGTGGACAGAGGAGCCTGGTGGGCTGCTGTCCATGGGATCGCAAAGAGTCAGACACGACTGAGCGACTGAGCATGCACTCATGCATCTTCTCAACATTACAACGTCCCCACAGGTCCCACTGTAGGGAGACTTTCACATTTAATTCACCCACAGACATTTGCTGGGCTCCCATGGCGTGGCAGGCACTGTTCGAAATTATTGGAGTACATCAGTGGGAAAGGGAGATTCCTGACTCAGCACATGGCAAGCAAATAAGGATCTCAAACCGTTTCCTGCAGCGTTGCATGCTCCGAGGAAAAGGAGAACAGGAGGGGAGGGCAGAGCTTGATAGCACGCTGCGGTGGTTCCCACACACCAGCAACGTCTTTGACACGCACCCCTCGAGAGGGCGCCCAGTCCCTCTCTCTGTATGTGGTCGGACTGGAGGACGTCTTCCGAGAGGGGTGTGGCAGAAGGAACACGTGTGGCTCTCCAGGGGAGGTCCGAGGAACAGCTGTGCTTGGGCGCCGTCCTTCGGGGTCGCCTGCTCTGAGGGAGGCCAGCGTGGACAGGTGCTCCCGCCAGTGCCCCCTGCCAGTGGCCAGCACCAACTCGCCAGCCGTGGGCATGAACCCCTTTGGAAACTCCAGGCACCCTCCGGGCCCATCTAGCCTTCGAGCAGGGCCAATGTCTTGACTGTCACCTCGTGAGGGACCTGGGGCCTGAGCCATTCTGCAGACTGCTCCAGAATCCCTGATGGTGGAAACTGCAAGAGATAATACATGTTTATTGTTCTTTTGATCAATGGATGGTTAAATAATCAATACAGGTTGCTTTTTTTCTGAATGAAATGACAGAGCAAGCCATGCAAATATCTGAGGAAAGAGTGTCCCAGGGACGGGGATGCCAGAGCTCGGAGCAGGAGAGCGATGGGGGAGGCAGGGAGGAGGCCGTGGAGGTGGGGAGCGCGGTCTTGTGTCGGGCCCTCATCGGGGCTTTATTCTCTGTGAGATCAGAAGGATTAGAGCAGGAGAGGGACATGGTTCAGTTTACCTTTTAGAGAGGACCGTCCGGCTGCTACGTGGATAAAGAGAGCGGAAGGGGGTGGCCACCCGGGAAGTTACTGGGATAATTCGTGTTCTGGTCAAGAGATACGGATGCGACAAGACGTGGGACAAGAAGGTGAGGAGCCAAGGACAACTCTGGAGTTTTTGTCCTGAGCAGCTGAGAGAATGGTGGTACTACCACGAAGAGTGGACATATGCAGGTCTAGGAGGTGTTCTGAAGCAAGCATCAAGATTTTTCATTTTCTTACAAAGTTCCCACTAAAGCCGCAAATCCTGTATGCTTTGATATACTGTGTTTCTTGTTTTCATTAAGTTGCATATTTTCCTAATTTCTCCTGTGATTTCTGCTTTGATTTATGGGTTATTTAGAAATCTGTTGTTTAATTTTCAGATATTTGGAAATTCTCTGAATGCATTTCTGCTACTGATTTTTACTTTAATTTCAGAATGATCAGAGTATATATGTTATATGATCTTAAATATACTGAGACTTACTTTATGGTTCATAAGATGGTTTTTCTTGGTGAATATTCTATGAACCTAGAGGAAATTGTGCATTCTGCTGTTGTTGGATGCAGTATTTTAATAAATGCAAATGTTCCTCAGGGTGGTTTTATTGAGCATTTTCCTTAATGACTGATTATATTTAGCAACTTTTCTTGTGCTTATTGGCCTTTTGTATATTTTTTTTGGAGAAATGTTTATTTGAATATGTTGCCCATATTAACTGGGTTAATTTTCTTCTTCATATTGAGTTATAAGTGTCTTATATTCTAGATAAAGCTCTTTTATCAGATAAGGTTTTAAAATATTTTCTCCAAGTCTATAACTTGTGTTTTCATTTCTTAATGTTGTCTTTAACATGTAAGAGTTTTACATTTTGATGAAGTCCAGTTATCAAATTTTTTGGTAGTTGATCGTGCTCTGGTATATCTAAAATATCTTTGCCCAATCCAAAGCCACAATGATTTTATTTTATATTTTCATCCAAGAGTTATGTAGTTTGGGTTCTCACATTTAGGTCTATGATCCATTTTGAGTTCTTTTTTTAATATGGTATAAGGCCAGGTGTAAATTCATTCATTTTATGTAGGTATCTAATTGACACAGCACCATTTGTTGAAAAAAGCTATCCTTTAATCACTGAATTTTCTTATCTTTGTAGGACATCAATTGACCACGAATGTAAAGGTTTGTTCCTAAAATCTCAGTTCTGTTCTGTTGATCTACATGTCTTGTTATGCCAGGACAACACTGTCTTGATTATTGCAACTCTGCAGTAGGTTTTGATATCAGCTAGTGCTAATTCTCCAACTTCATTCTTTTTCAAGATTGTTTTGGCTAGTCTGGGTCCTTCGTAATTACAGATATAATTTAGGATCATCTTGTCAATTTCTGCTAAGATTTGATAAGAGATTGCAATACTTTTATATATTAAGACAACTGCAGTCTTAAAAAATGGAGTCTTTTAATCCATTTATTAATATTTAGAACATCTTTATTTTCAGCAGTGTTTTGTAGATTTTAATGTACAAAAGCTTACAGTTATTTCATTAAATTTATCCCCAAGTTTTTTTTCCTGCAATTTTGAATGACATTTTCTTTATTTTTAGCCTGGTCATCAGTAATATGCATGTAGAAATAAAACTGACTCTTCAGCATTGATCTTGTGTCTGTAAGCTTTCTGAACCTGTTTATTAGTGCTAGCAGGTTTTTGGTTGCTCTCGACTCCCGGGCGTTTTGTAGAAATCTTGTTGTCTGTGTGTTAATAGGCACTTTCCTTTCTTCCTTCTCAGTCTGGAAGCTGTTTGTTTCCTTTCTTGGGAGAGTGAACTAGACAGAACCTCTGGTTCCAAGACTAAAATGGTGAGAGCAGACATCTGTGCCTTACTTCTGATCTCAGAGGGAAAGTATTTGATTTTTCACTATCAAGTACGAAAATAGCTATTGGGTTTTTTTTTTTTAATTTATTATCTCATAGGTCTGCAGGTAAGAAGTCTTTTGGTTGGGGACAGCAGGGGGCGGGGTGGGGCAGGGGGCGGTGTTCGGCCCCATGGGGTCTTTGTTGTGGTGCGGACTTTCTTAACTAAAGAAGTCAAATGAAGTGAAGTCACTCAGTCGCGTCCTACTTTCTGTGACCCCGTGGACTGCAGCCCACCAGGCTTCTCCATCCATGGGATTTCCTAGGCAAGAGTACTGGAGTGGGTTGCCATTTCCTTCTCCAGCTATTGGGTTTTGCAGGCAATTGTAGCAGGTTAGGAAGTTCTCTTCTTTCCCTAATTTGTTGAGAGTATTTATTGTGAATAGGTACTGGATTTTTCAAATGTTTATTTTCTGCATTTATTGAAATGATCGTGCAGTTTTGGTGCTTTATTAGCATGGTGTATGACATCAACTTATGGATGTTAAACCAAGCTTACATTCCTGAAAAAAAATGGTCAAAATGTACAATGTTTTCTGCATATTGCTGAATTCTGTTAGCTAACATTTTGTAGAGAATTTTTGCATTTATATTAATGGGAGATATTGGTCTGTAGTTTTCGCATTTATATTAATGGGAGATATTGGTCTGTAGTTTTCTAGTGATTCCTCTTTCCAGTTTTTGTATCAGGTTAATATTGGCCTCATAGAATGAGCTGGAAAGTGTCGACTCCTCTTCTGTTTCCTGGAAGAGTTTGTGAGTATTGGTGTTCATTCTTCTTTAAGTGTTCAGCAGAATTCACCAGCAACATCACCTGGGCTTGGGCTTTCTTTCGGAGGGAGGTTAAAGTACTAATCCAATTTTCTTATACATATATTCATATTTTCTATTTCTTCTTGCATCAGTTTTGGTCATTTGTATCTTTTTAGGAATTTTTCGATTTTATCCAAACCCCTGCACGGCGATGTGTTTGAAGGGGCTGCTCCTCCCTCCCGGGCAGCTGAGCCTGTGGGTGGAAGCCCAGCCC